ACTTTCCTTAGGGACGGCCTCCCTCTGGAACTTTCTGTCCTGGTAAGCAACCTTCACTTGATTCAGCAACATTTATTGAATGTGGTGCTTACTAGGTCCAGATACTGGGGTGCAAAGATGATGGCCTGGGGGTGTGCGGGACGCAGACCACGAGGCCACACCAGGCTCTCCCAGCCTGCTAGCTCCTGGCTCCCCCTCCAAGTGATACCCTGAGGGCACATACCCTACCCTCTGCCCAGAATTCCCTCTTTACACCCCAGCCCCATTCTCTGACTCCCTGACAGATCCCTGTGCACCCTTCAGAGTCCGGCTTGGACACTGCCTCACCCGTCAGACCCCTCCCACCAGGGCTCGGCCTCTTTCTTCATCTGTGCTCCTGCCACACTCTGAAAACCCTTCTGCTATGGCAAGGCCCTATGCCCAATTGCCCAGTTCAAATTCCAGCTCTCTCTTTCTAGAACTTCACCTCAAAACATCAGTCTCCTCATCTGTAGGATAATAATTGGTAAGTTGAGTATCTGCCCAGAAGGCCTGGGGAAGGCTCACATAAGATCATCCAGATAATGCACCAAGATCAGCACGTGCACCTGCTAAGCTCTTAAAAAATATCTGTTTAGGTATTTTGATAATTGATTGGAGCCCTAGCCTTGACCTTCAAATCTCTGAATCTTGAGGGTCTGACCCAGGCCAGAGCACAGAGGCTCTGAAGAGGATTTGCCAAGCTTGACCACACCCAGCATTCGAGAGAGCCCTGTGGGGTAGGATGAGGAGACTAGAAGAGCAGGTCACAGATACCCGCTTACTGGCTTATGCACACCCTTTCATTCCGTATTCATTAATGTTTTATCCTATGTCAGCTGTAAGTTATACAGTAAGTGCTTGAATGATCAGCAATACATACTTTGGCCTGCAATGGGGTAAGAACATAGGAGGACCTTCTCCTGGACTACCTGAATTCCTCTGGAGCAGAGCACAAGGCAGGGCTCCTATGCATGAAGTTCTGTTGAGTTTTCTAAAGAAATCTGAAGAAAGAAAAGTGACCAGGAGGCCAGAGAGGAGGGAAAGTCAGCCCCAAAAGTACATTCTTGAGTTGGTTACCTCCATGGACAACTAAGGCTCTGCCCCCCTGACCCTCTGAGGACCTGGAGAGAATACCACTTGTCTTCCCCCAACCCCCAGGCTGTCAGTAGGGAACATGTGCCCTGCCTGTCAGAATGCTGACCTGGCGGGGTCCTGGCATCCCACCCTGCCCCATCAGAGAAGCCTAGGAGGGGACACAGGGGGCTGCAGGCTACACCAGGTACACCTGGCAGTGGCTGGAGTAGAGATGAGGCTTGGAAGAAGTAAAGAGGCACCGGAGGTGTCCAGGGCTCAGAGCCATCACCCCACAAGAGACAGGGCTGCTCAGAGTTGTGCAGAGAAAGACGCTAGGGCTCAAAGCTCTTAGGGTACCAGGCCAGAGATTCTGCAACACCCTGCTAGGCTGTCACCCAGTCGGTGCTCTCTAGAAGACTGAGGAGCAGAAGGCAGAGATATCCAAGGAATGGGTTTATGGTATATCATGCAGCTGCAAAGAGCCAGGGGTACTCTCCAATAGGTCCTCAGTGCCAGGCCCAGCCCTGAGGGGCAAGGAGGGGGTAGGACCTGCCCCATCCAGCCTTGCTGGGGACCCTGCATCAGGACAGGCTTGCCCTGGCCATGTCACTTGCCTCCAATGTGCACTGTCACAAGAACATGTGGATCTCTGGCTAAAGTCTCACTTCCCACCTTTCGAGTGCTTAAGGTGTGCCAAGCAAATGCAGAAGGATTTCAATTTTAACAGGAGCCAAAACTAAATGCAATCAAGGGAAAAATGAAAACTTGGGGGAAAATGTGGGACATGCTGCAAGATCAAAAGTGAGCAGTCTGCTCAGATGGGGCTTCAGGACATGCACTGGCGTGACAAGAGCTTGCCAGCTCTTGCCTCTGAGAAGGCCAGGTCCCAAGCAGCAGGGCTAGGGTGGTGCATGGTGAGGGGCTGGGCACTGTGGGATGGCCACAGCAATCTGGGAGCCACGATAAATGTTCTGCTAGCAATCAAGGGAAAAATGAAAACTTGGGGGAAAATGTGGGACATGCTGCAAGATCAAAAGTGAGCAGTCTGCTCAGATAGGGCTTCAGGACATGCACTGGCGTGACAAGAGCTTGCCAGCTCTTGCCTCTGAGAAGGCCAGGTCCCAAGCAGCAGGGCTAGGGTGGTGCATGTTGAGGGGCTGGGCACTGTGGGATGGCCACAGCAATCTGGGAGCCACGATAAATGTTCTGCTATTTTGTACAGTGCATTGTTCAGAGACTGGCACAATAGATGATTTAATTGATTTCCCCCAAAAGATATTATGTGCAAATTTGTAAAGAGTAGAAATAACTTAACTTTGATTTGTTTGCTGTTCTTGGTATGTGCATTCGTTAATTCCTAGAATGCTGTACAAATGCTGCCACTGCCTGCTCTGCTCTCTTGGTCTTGGTGAGGCCATGCCACACAGCAGAGGAGCTGTGGCCTGGGTAGCTTGGCACCATCTGTTCTGGACAAAGAAAGGGCGGGAGTTCTGCCCACACCCTCAAGCCATGGAGAGGGAGAGGAAGCTTCCGGCCCAAGCAGCAACCCCTGGGGAAGGAGGCTGAGTCCTCCTCAGCCCAGAAGCTCCTCAGCTTCTCTCCAAGGTGAAGGCTGCCTTTCCTGAGTAGCGCAAAATGTAGCCTAGACCAGAATGTTCTGGAAGGACTCAGAAATGAGGAAGTGTGTGCTAAGAGCAGGGGTTGCAAATCACAGGGTAGAGAGGTTACCCGCAGCCGGCAGTGTGGGTTGTACAAGCCCTGCTGGCTGCAGCCTGTCCTCCCGGGCAGGGATTAACATCGGAGCAGACGGCTTGGCCCAGAATTGGGCATGACTAATTGAGAGGACAAACAGGAAGGCTTTTCACCTGCTTGGTCCTCAGTCAGTGTTTCCTATGAGGTGATAGCATCAGGAGCCCCGGGGAGTACAGGCAGTTTTGTTCCTCGCTGTGTGTCTCTCGTGCTGATGACGTCAACGGGGCACAAAACAAGGCTTCTGAACCTGGACGGGTGTGGAGAGAGAGGAAGCTGGTCCACAGGCATTTGGGCCTCAGAGACCAGATCTCTCTTCTCAAAGCCCAGCTCTCTGACTCGTGACCTAGACCTGTGCACACCCTTGTGATTTTAGCTCCTCTAAACCTGAGATGGATCTTTTCTCTTGGCAACTTCCAGGAATGGGTTTTTTCTCTAGCACAGCAGAGAAAACAAAATTAAGAAGGGGGTTTTAGGTCATAAGATGAGCCAGGAGCAGAGCTGGCAGCAGTATGCAGTGGTGCCCAGCTTTTGCTCAGGTCTCCAATCAGCAGGCCATCGGTCTGTTTTTAAGGGAGGAATGCAAATCTGACTAATGTGCAGCTTGATTCTGATAAGCAGGGGGTTTCAGGTTTGTCCTCCAGGGCTCAGAAACAGCACAGCCTCTGACACCTGTCATAGTCTCTGTAGACCTGACCAAATGTCTGAGCACAAGTGTACTTGGTCTACAGCCAAAAAGTTAAACACATAACACAGCCCCCCAAATGGAAAATAATAGTCCCTTCGTGACCAGGTCATTCACTCAAGACACAGGTAGTGAAGGCAGCTTTGGCCCACCCCCCGCACCCCAGGTTAAATGTGCTCAGTGGCCTGTTCTCACTAGAAAACACAGAAACATGCCACATCCTCGAGCAAACCACATTCCCTGGGGGCCACTGTCATACAGGGCCAATCTCCTGGGATGCTGCTGCTTCTGAATTTTTATTCTTTTATGTGCTTCCCTTCCACGCCTGGAAAGAAATCTACATGTGGAGGCTTGGGTTTTCTTATTTGTGGCCTAACCTCTGACAGGATTTCATGGGGTTGGGGAACAAGTATAAGAGCCTGGTTGGACTAGAGTTAAGACACAGGTATGTTTAGCATGTGAAGGAAGGCATGACAGTCCCTGCACACATGCACACAGAGATACAGACACATGTGCATACACATACAGAGATGTACACAAAGACATACAAACAGGCACACAGAGACATCACACACACACACACACAGACATATACACACATGCACACACACAGGCATACAGATGCACAGAAACAGATGCAGAAGAGATTTGTACCTACATCCACTAACTTGCCAGGGACATCATTAAAAAGACTTGAACTGTATCAGCACCTGATTCAGGCAAAGTGCTTGGAGCTAGGGATAGGGGCTGTGGAGAGATCCCACCATGGTGTGCATGTGGGTGCAGGCCACAGGCAGCTCAACAGCCTCAGAGGCCTCAAGGGCAGGACATAGCTCGGGAAAGGCTTCTTCCTCTTTGACTCCCAGGCAGCCAGGAGCCCTAGTGGGTTGAGTTAGGCCAGGCAGTGAGAACAGCCCCCTAGGGTATATAGAGACCCTGTTACTGGAGTGGCAGAAGCTAGAGCCAGCCTGGGCACTGATGCCCCTTCCACCCAGAGGTATATCACAGCCATGGGGAGCAGAAGTGGTTACTGTCCATGGGGCTCTCTGTCTGTCCCCGCTTCCCTTCCCTTCCCCGTTGCCCCATGGGCCTGCTGGTGGCAACAGTGCATGCTGGCCAGAGAGGCTGCAAATCCTCTGTCAGAGGGTTTAAAATACTAGTCACCAGGAGGGCAAATGTGCAGGAGCAGGACAGACACTGGTCTGGAATCAAGTGACTCTAGATGAGGACACACAAAAAAAGGGAGATGGGACTATCATTTAAAGAATATCAGCTAATTGCATGAGTTCTAATATGAGGCCATTTTTATGATATTTCTTATAAGAAAAACTGGACTTCTAAGTTTACAGCCAAAGGACCCAGAACAATGTAAGGGAAGTTTTTTCTACCATCTAAGTGTATGCATTGTAATAAACAAAAGAGATCAACTTCCCAATGTTGAGTTTATATTTCAGAAAGCCATTGTAACACATTGACTTTTCCGACTTTCTTTATTCAAGAATAAAAGAGTCTCAAAAAATACAGAACTAAAATGTCCAATGTCATCTGATATAGCAGGTTCACCAAAAGGTTATAAAGGTAAACTTACATTTTGGGGGCATTAATTATAATTACTAGAGAGATAATGAATTGTTTTTCAAAGAAATGTATCTCAGGAATATGCTGACCAATGGGGTAGATAGTTATCTAATCTCCCATTTCTATGGGTAAACCTATAGGTCATGGACAGTCTACTGAGCAGCAAGGAGCTGCTCTAAAAAAGCCCTTTTCCAGGTAACACAGACATGGGCCTTTCCAGAAGGATGGATTCTTTTTAAGCCTCCCCTTTGGCAAGATTAATTAACCTCCCACAAGTACTTTCACTTCCAGGAGGAAGTCATGTGGGATACATATCAATTCATGTCCATCTCTAGTCAATCACATTTTGCCATCTCTAACAGATGGCACACGGTAATGGTTTGGGAATACAAAGTGAGGGACCTGGAAGGGAAAGGGACACTGACATTTTCTCCAACTCTTTGATGGCCGAGCACACCTACACATTATGCTCCAGAGCACGGAGGTCTTCCAGGAGCTCCTGGGCCACAGTCTGCAGGTGGGGGTTGCGGCTCTTGGACACTGCCAGTATGCGTTGCAGAGGCAAGGAGCTCTGAAACTCAGATGCTGACTTGGAGAAGACTTCTGGTTCCAGAACCACAGACTGGACAAGCCGCAATACATGAAGACACACCTCTGCGTCTGGATCTAGGAGAAAGAGACAACGCTTCTGGTTAGAAAGAAACCTACCCCTGGAGGAATTCCTGGCCTTTCTGAATGACAGGTTTGACAGTTTAGAATACTACAGGCTATTCCAGAAACAGAGTCACTTCTTGATGTAAAAGCTTAGCTCATAAAAGCAGCATGACAAAACTCAACCACTATCCATTCAGTACCATCAGTCTTCCAGTATCACTCACAATCCTGTAATCTTAAAATGCTAGGCTAGAAATATGAGGACTTTCCATGTTGTATGTTATAATTCTGTCCACTTACAAGATTGTTTTCAAAGGGTATTACTTCACTTTCACTCCAACTGCAGCAAATCCCTCAGAGACCACATACAGACACAGCATCCCTTTAGGGCCACTGAGTTAGACAATGTCATACCGCCACTATATTCACACTTATCTTACTAGATACAGTTTTGTTCAACCTCTTTGATTTTTCATAATTCAGTTTCAGAGGTTGGCGTGTTTCTAAGAATTTATCCATTTCATCTAGATGATCTAATTTGTTGACCAACAATTATTCATAGTATTCTCTTATAACCCTTTTGATTTCTGTAAATTTGGTTGCAAGGACCCCTCTCTCATTTCTGATTTTAGTTATTTGAGTCTTCTCTTTTTTCTTAGTCCATCTAGATAAAAGGCTGTCAGTTTCGTGGATCTCATCAAAGTACCAACTTTGGGTTTCATTGATTTTCTATTTTTTTTAAATTTTCTCTTTCTTTTATCTATGCTCTAATTTTTATTATTTACTTTCTTTGCTAGGTTTGGGCTTAGTTTGCCTTTCATTTTCTATTTTCTTAAGGTGCAAAGGTGAACGCTGTTTTGAGATCTTTCTTTTTTATTAATGTATGCATTTACATTAAATTTCTTTTAGCAACAAATAAATAAATAAATAAATAAAATGGTAGGGAATGCTCCAAAGACTTTCTATGTAAATACATTTATCTACTTTAACTGATAAGAGAATCTTTGTTATTATATTGAAATTTCTAGATTTTGTTTTCATATCCCATTCTTGCTGATCTTTTATTTCTCCTCTAATAAAGAATACTGAATATAAAATAAATAGAATTAAAATAATATTAAAAAAATAATTAAGTGGATTGAAACAGTGAACTCAATAATCCCTCAGTGGGAGATACCAATACACCAAGCCCTGAACAGGGGCTTCTCCCTGACAGAACAAGAGGGAAGACAGCTGTAGCCGGGGAAAGATAAAAGAAAACCCACTCTACCCCTGAGGGAGGGGCAGGGAACCATAATTCTGGGTGCACATCATTAGAGTCCTCCTACTTTGGGGGAGAAATGGAAAACTTTCTCTAGCATAAGACCTGCCACAGATGCAGGGTAGTGTGTCTGCCATGGGAGGAGGCCAGCATCACTGGGAAGGCCCCACAACCCAGGCACATGTGGAAAGGAGGTGAACCAAAACAGTGAGAACTATCCCTCTGTCCTTCATCAGCAGCCTAGCAAACATCCCATCATAATACCTGGAGGAGGAAAAGGATGGAAAGAGACCCTCTGGGGCAAAGATGCAGAGGAAAGACCAAAAGCCAAGGGTGAGACACTCTGGTGACTCAGCCCTCATCCTCAGCACAAGGAAAGGATAGAGGAGTCTGAAGCCATTGGGACGGAAGGTATTCACAGCAACAACAAAACAGAGACCCAGCTCAATCCCCACAGTGACAGCCTAGCAGAACAAGAGGTGTGGCCATTCCCAGGTATAAACACTATCTACCATCCTCATTCTCCTCTGCAGGGTTGGCACACTATGATCCAGACACCAAATGCAGTCCATGATCTGTTTCTATACAGGCCATGGGCCAAGAATGGTTTTAACATTCATAATGCATTATTTTTCAAAAAGAAAAAAACAGAAGAATAATATACAATAGTGAACATATGTGGCCCTCAAAGTTCAAAAGTCCAAAATATTTACTATCTGGTCCATTACAGAAAAAAATTGTTGACCCCTGCTCTACTGCTATGCAGCATACAATGTTCAACATTCAATTAAAAATTATGATGAAGAAGGAAGTGAAATGAGAGACCTACTGCTAAGTGATAATCAACAGAGCCGGAGTCAGAGATGACCCAGATATAGGAATAATCAGAAAGGGAATTTGAAATAAATATGACTAAACAGATTAAAAACAAAAACTAAAAACTAAAAAGAAACCCACACTGTTTTAAGGTAATTACACATCTGAAGGAACATATCATTATTTAAAGGTATAATGTGATTAAAGATTGTATCGTAGACCCTCAGGCATATACTAAAAAAAAGTTTTTAAAAGTGTAAGTGATAAACGAACAGTGCAGATAAAATGAAATATTAAAATGTCAATCCAATAGCAGATGAAAACAGAAGAAAAAAGAAACTAGCAATATTTCTACATTTCTTTCTATATTTCAATAATTATATTAAATAAAAACAGTACAAATACACCAATTAAAAGACAGAGAATACATACAAAAGCAAGACCCAATTATATACTTTCTATGAGAAACCCAAGATAAACATAAAGACATAGGTTAAAAGTAAAAAACATATTAAAAATATGCCATTTAAACACTAATTACAAGAAGACTTCAGTGTGTCTATTATTAACAAAGCAGTCTTCAGAACAAGAAATATTGCCAGGGATAAAA